CGAAGGCGAGGTGAAAGTTTCCGAGTTTTAGCAGAAGGAGAGTGTGGCTGTGTTACAACTTCGGCCAAATAAATGAAAGCGGAGCCGCTGTCTTTATAATGGAGTTTCTTCTGCTGTTCGTCAAGATGTCGCGGAAGGGGACTAAGAATATACATATATATATATTATATATAGAGCCTATATATATATATAATACTTATATTATATTATATTAGCGTATATATATATATACGTATAATATATATATATATACTTATAATTATTATATATATACATATATATATATATATATATACTCTAGTGATCTATTATATATATATGTATCTATATATATATATTACACTATATGTCATGTATGTGTATTATTGTGTTGTGTGTGTGTGTGTGTGTGTTGTGTGTGTGTGTGTGTGTTGTGTGTGTTTCGTGTGCGTGTGTGTTGTTGTGTGTATGTGTATGTTTATGTGTCTCGTTAGTGCGGCATGGAAATTGCCTTCATACGTTGCGATGCATCATGGTCTGAATTTGCTCATTATCTCCCAACTTTCTCGCCCCATCACAGCTGACTTCGAATAACCCTTCCCTATTGCTATCCCTTGAAAGAAAACTCCTCCGCCAAACCTAATTAAAGTAAAAGAATAGGCGGCAGAAATATAACTACCCTCCCCCCCCCCCCCCACCCAAAGGTCATCACATTTTCCTGTCATTACGAGGGTGACATTTAAGCAAATGGGCGTGAAGATAAAAAGAAAACAAAGGGATAATGTGGAGAGAGATAGCCTACGTACCTGTGCCTGGTATCCCCCCCCCTCTGCCCCCCTCCCTCCCCCCTGGATCCCCCTAGCTCCCCTGGTTCCTCTCCTGCCCCCCCTGGTCGCCCCCCACCTGGTTCCCCCTGGTCGCTCCCCCCCCTGGATCCCCTAGCCCTCCCTGGATCCCCTAGCCCCCCCTGGTTCATCTCCTGCCCCCCCCCTGGTCGCCCCCCCCTACCTGGTTCCCCCCCTGGTTCCTCCCTTGCCCCCTCCCCACCTGGTTCCTCCCTTGCCCCCTCCCCCACCTGGTTCCTTCTCCTGCCCCCCCCTGGTCCCCCCCACATGGTTCCCCCCTGGTTCGCTGTAACGAAGGGAAATGACGGTGCTTTGTAATAGAGAATCGGTTTTTCGTTATAATACTGTGGTGGAGGGACTATGCTGAGGGTTCTGGGTAATGTGCATGGAAAAAAATAACTAATAAAGTGAGAATGAGATAAAGGCAGATAAGTGGAACGAGAAATAGAGATAGATAGAAAGAGCGAGAGAGAGAGAAAGATAGACAGGAAGAGCACGAGAGACAGAGATAAAGAGCGAGAGAGAGAGAGAGAAGAGAGAAGAGAGAGAGAGAGAGATAAAGAGCGAAGAGAGAGAGAGAGAGAGGAAAAACAGACAGAGGAAGTCGGAAAGTGAAAGAGAGAAAGAAGAAAAGAGGAGAGGCTAAGTAAACGCCATGTAAAAATACTAATAATACTACTAATGATAATGATAATAAAAAAATAATAATAAACATAATAATAATAATAATAAACAAAGACTAGACTAATCACGACCTGTTAAAAACGAAGGAAAACAATTTCGAAAAATAGCGAAAAAAAGACAAACAAAGGAAACACAGGGCAGACATTTCAAAAAAATAAAATAAAATGAGTTAGGAGCGGGAAGAATATATCATGGTATAAATCCCGATCTAAACCCACGTATAAAACTCGGGTAATTTTATTTTTCCGCAGGTGAACGGACATCCATTTTCCTTTCATTTTTTTACTTGTTACATACGCGTAGATATAAAAATAATTATTATTGATTTATCTACCCCTTATTACATCTAAAGAAATATATCTAAAAAGGTGAAAAATAATTTGAAAAAAAAGATTTCAGAAGTTAAAAAAGAAAAAAAAAGTAATTAACAATTATTGTTGATATATTTAACGCTTAATACATCAGAAAGTTATCTAAAGAAATATATCTAAAAAATGTGAAAAAATAATTTGAAAAAAGGAATATCAGAAGTTAAAAAAAAAAATCGCAATTAAATTTAAACCTATATCTACCCCTAAATACATCCGAAAGTCATCTAAAATATATATACCTAAAAATGTGAAAAAATAATTTGAAAAAAGGAATATCAGAATTAAAAAAAAAAAAACGAATCGTAATTAGTGGGAGTAAATACCTTTAAAGAAAACCGCCTTTAGGAATTAATTTTCTTCGAGACGCCTTTTTTTCTCTCACCACATCTTCGCACAAAACCTCGTGCTTTACTTTCGCTCAGTTACATACGTAAACACAAACGCTATTGTCTTTCGCTTTGTGTTTGTGTACTATTGTCTTTGTTGTGTTTCAGACGAGAACTTGGTACAATAACGTTTCCCAATATTGGTGTATCAGATGTTGGGTTAGCATCGGTGCCAGACGTACGACGAGGATGACGTAAACGAGAGGAACAGTTGTGTTGTCTTCGAGACCCGGATGTAGACCTTCATGGAATTATAATTTTTAAAGTCGTTTATCCGTTAGCGTTGAATACGATATGGAAATACACACACGCACGCACACATGCACACACACACACAAGCAAATACACACACACACAGACACACACACACACACACACACACACACACACACAACACACATCACACAAACACACACACACACACACACACACACACACACACACACACACACCACACACACACACACACACACACAAACACACACATACACCACATACATATATATATATAGATAGATAGATATATATAGATATATATATACGTGTATATATGTGTGTGTGTGTGTACAATACGTATATACATAAAGATAGAGAGAGAAATGCGCACAAACACAAACACTCATGTATGTGCCTATATAAGGAGAACCGTATGTTTGCGATGAACTTTTGACTCCCTTGTTCCCAAGACTTTTATCGTAAGATATTCATACGACCTGTCATAAGGCAACGAATGACCTTTGCGATGGCCAAGTTCCTGATAAATAAAGGATAAGCTGAGTCATCACTGGTCGATACACGTTCTCTTAGATCTGATGCTTCTGGGCTTTCCATTTCTTTGTTTTTTGGACTGAGATAAAGGGAAGGTAAGCGGAACGAGAGATAAAGATAGGTAGATAGAAAGAGCGAGAGAGAGAGAGAGAGAGAAGGAGAGAAGAGAGAGGAGGAGAGAGAGAGGATAAAGATAGCGAATTTCTAAGATACGGTCATCAATTCTACTCGTTTTGTTTCCAAAGAGATAAAGGTTTTAGTAATTTTCTGTTCTCATTTTATTATTATTATTATTTATTATCATTTATTCATTTGCGTATCCTATTCGTCGCCAAATTCGGTTCTGCTACAGAGTCTTTCCCACTGGATAATAACTTACCATTAATCAATTGACGCGTTATTCTATATCTATATATCTGCGGGAGTATCTATATATATCTGCGACGAGATTTTTTGCACCCTTGTTCAAAGACAAAGTAAATTATACCTTCCTGTTTTAAATTAGCGAAACCCAGGCAGATTCTCACATCCGGGGACTTGGCGACTGTGTAAAAACAGCGTAAAGGAGGAATTGAGGAAGCACGGCGACAAGAGAGGAGGAGAGGAGGAGGAAGAGGAAAGATAAGTGTGAGAGGAAGAAGAGGAAGGATGGAGAGGAGAGGGATACAAGAAGGAGGTGGAGGAGAAGGAGGAGAGGCAAAGAAGAGGAGCAGAGGAAGGAAGACGAGGAGAGGGATAGAAGAAGGAGAAGGAGGAGGAGAGAGAAAGAAGGAGGAAGATGAGGAAGAAAATAGGTGGAAAGAAGGAAAAAGATAGAAGGAGAAAAAAAGAAGAAGTAGAAGACAAAGAATAGAGAAAAAAAAAAGAGGGAAGAAGAAGAAAATGTAAAAAAAAAAAAGAATGCTAAAAAAAGAGCAGGAAAAGAGAAGAGAAGGGCAACAGCAAAGAAACAAGAAGAAGGAAGGAGGAGGAAGGGAAACAAACACTTGATTTCACAGACGGACGGAGGTCAGACAATGCCACCGAAAAGGGGAGCGAAGGGGAACGAAATGACACTATGATATTGCCAAGCGGGGAAGCCACCCTTGTACATTGGCTTAAGACTGCATGCACTAGAATTCTCGCTGTCTTGGGTTGGCCACGGTTTTGTTCTGCAATTTAGAAACAGCACAAATATAATAATGATGATGATTGTATGACGATATGATTGATGATGATGATGATGATGATGATGATGATGATGATATGATAATGATGATTATAATGATAATGATGATAACGATAATTATAATAATAATAATTGATTATGATAATAATATATTATGATGAATGATAATAATCAATAATAATTAATAATAATGATAATAATAGATAATATTAATAATGATAATAATAATGATAATAATAATTAATAATAATAACGTAATAATAGTAATAATAATTAATAATAATAATAATTAATAATAATAATAATTAATAATAATAATAAATTAATAATAATAAGTAATTAATAATAATAAATAATAATAATTAATAATAATAATAATAATATAATAAAATAGTAGTAGTAGTAATAATATTAATAATAATAATAATAATAATAATAATAAATAATAACCGATAGTAATAATTAATAAATAATATATAATAATAATATATAATAATATAATAGTAATATAATGATAATAATAATAATATATAGCAGTAATCATAATAATAATAATTAAGTAATAATTAATAATAAATGATATTAATAAGAATAAGTAATAATAATAAAACAATAATAATAATAATCATCTTTTTAGCACAAAAGAGCTCACACAGTTCAAACAAAGGGTGCAAAGGGAGATGTAAGGAAAACTAAAGAAACCCGTAAAAATAAGGGGAAAAAAAACATTATGCCACACCAAAAACAACTTTGCATCGTAGTGGCTCCGAGTGGCCCTCCGGGTGGCCTCCCAGTGGCT